CTCAGGAGCCTGTGCTGACACTCGTACCTGCTTGTCCGGGCGCCCTTCTTCGATCGATACCCTGAACTCATCATCCATTGGCTCTGCTCTAGGCGCCTCCTCCGACCGAATGTCTATGTTGTTCACTCGGTGCCTCCGCGCGCCCTTTTTTCCTCCTTCCTCTTCTCGCGCATAGCGGGGGGCGCCTTCTCCCCTTGAAATTCCTATGCCCTGTCGGGCGACGAACTTCAATGTTTGGTGGCAAGTCGAGGCTACCCCATTGAATAACGCCAACAGGGGTCTTCCCAGTATGACGTTGTACGGCGAGGGGCAATCCACTATCCCAAACTCCACGGCATGTGTCACTCGATGCACTTCGTCGCCCAATGTTACCGGGAGGCACACGCGCCCGATCACATGGGCAGGCGCCCCCGAAAACCCTATCAGCACCGAATCAGAGGGGCTTACCAATTCCGGCGCCAGCTGCATGCGCTCGAACGTGCTTTTGAACAGAACATCCATCGAACTTCCCGTATCCACCAACATCCTCTTGACCTTACACCCTGCAATGATTCCCTGTATCTCCAAAGCTTCCTCTGAGGGTACTTGACACGCTTCATCCGCCTCTTGATTAAAGCATATTTGCACGGCCGTCTTCGCTTCCACAGATGCAGCTCGGAGGCGCCTAGACCTGTCCAACTTGTCCCGCAAATCGACGGTTCCGGTTATGGATTCCACCGTGAGTCTAACCCGATTGGGTTCCCCTTCTTGATTCAACTCGAACGGAGGCGGGGGTATTTCAAGTGGAGGAGGGAGGGTCTCAAGCGCAGGGAGGTTACCAGGCGCCTGTTGCATAAGGGGAAGGGTAGGCGCTTTTGGTTCAATTACCACAGCAGGTGCTGGCCTCGTCTCTCTTGCGACATATGCGCGGTGAGCCCTCTCTTGCGTCTTTCTTATGAAGTCGTTGAGCATTCCTCGGTCGGCCAACGTCTGCAACTCCGACTTCAGTTGGTAGCAATCGGCCGTATGATGCCCCTTATCCCGATGAAAGTCACAATACCGATCAAGGTTCCGTTCGTTTGGTTGCCCACGCATAGGTCCCGGCCAACGCACATGGTATCCCCGGTCCTTCACGTATTGCAGAATGTTTTTCAGAGAGTCGTTATATTCCGTGAAATTTCCCGCACTCCTGGGTGGCGGGCGCTGACTCTCAATCCTCCTTTGCGGCGCGTTGTTCATAACGAATGGCCTAGGCGCCTGGCGCACCTCAACTTCTTCCCTACCAACGCGCCTCTTCTCTGCCCTCCTCGCGGCCAACGTTTCCTCCAAGGCAATAACTTTCTGAACCCTTCGATCCAGATCTTCAGTTGACACCACAACCCTCTTAGACAGCACCCGACACAACTCGTCACTATTCGTACACTCCTCCAGACACACTCCCAGGACTGGCGGTTGCACGTCCTTCACGGCCATGGCGACCGAAATCCAGCGGTCATAGAACTCTCTAAGCGCCTCACCCTCTCTCTGCTTGATTTTAAACAATGCGCCTATAGTCAACGTCCGCCGCTTACGGCTAGCAAACTTGGACAAGAATAGCTCTGCAAATTGCTCAGAGCATTCGATGCGCCCCTCCTCCAACTGATGATACCAATCTAAGATTACCCCTGCGAACGTCGAAGGAAACACCTTACACAACGTGGCATCCGTGCTATTGTACAATTGCATCTTTGTGAAATAGCTATTCAAATGATCTTCTGGGTCAGTGACTCCATCATAGCTGGTCAGCGGCGGGAGTGTGGTTCCCGCTGGTTCCATTAACACACTTTGCGCTAAGGGTTGTCTGATCCCAAAGCGCCTGGCCTGATGCTTGGGAGTCCATGGGTTCTGCTCTTCCGGCGCCGGGATGGTCCACTCGCCTGGCGCCCTCCACACACCAGGGCGCCTAGGTGGCGTTACCTCAGGATTGTGGCCCTCATAGCCCGGGCGCCCATACTCGCTAACCTCCGAATCATCTATGAGCCTATCCCGCTTCCTCACCGGGGGGCTGTATTCCCTTGTATCAGCGCTCCTTCCTCCCTCCAATTCCCTCCGAAGCATTGCTATTGCTCGGTCTTGGTCAGCAATAATCTTGAACAGCTCCCTCTTTGACAACGAATCACTCTCCATAGATGGGCGCTCACGGCTTTCGTCCTCTACGTCCATGCTCACTACCGGGCTTGCCCGCTGCTCGCTCCCCTCATGACTGGAATTCTCCGTTCCCGCATCCTCTGCGCCTACACTACCAACATTCAAGTCTTCCATCTGCCTTAACTTGCCGAACGCCCCCTTCCTGGCGCGCCAATTGTTGATGCCACAATACTCTCTCTCCCACGTGGCTCCACCACTGCTTCACGCCGAGCGCTTGGACCCTGCAGGACGGGCGCCTGGTGGGCTAGACCCGTCCGTTAGCACTCCAACGATCAAGTCAGGAGCAATTCTAGAGAGAGAAGTGAAGAAAGAAGTTTAGTGTGAGAAAGACTGACCTGCTTAAATGCTACCTACCAAGTGCTATTTATACTACTCGGGCTCCTCGACCAAGCTCCGACCAACTCCTGCCACCAAGCCTTACGTCAGCCTAGCATTAAATGCCTGGTCTCCCCTGGCGCCTACGCGCATACACGTGGCACACTGTCCGTTTTCCACATCGGGGCGCATAGGGGGACCACTGGCCTCGTGGCGCCCTTCCGACCTTGTCCACCTGTACTTCCTTGTCTGCGAGCCTATTTTGTCGTCATGCGCCTCTATTCCTTTATAGCCACCTAGGTCATACCCCCATAGGCCATAGATGGGCTTCAAGCCCAACAGGCTCCTAACTTTCATGGGCTCCTCTCTACTATCCCAACAAGGCCCAATAGGCTCTTGACTTTCATGGGCTCCTCTCTACTACCCCAACAAGTTGTAAAATTCCGAAACAAGATCCAGAATATCCCCACCGTGGCAGCTTATCACGAGTTTGAATCTTATCATGTACAATACATCACAATCCACTTGTTTCTGGATTTTGCCTGACCTTTCCAGACAAATTACGTACCAATTTACATTAGGTCGATGAGGCCTCTCAAGTGCCCTCAAACCAACTTAATAGAATACTTGCACATAACAGCAACACTAAAATCCACTAAGCCGTTTGAAATCAAAATAATAGAAAAATTCATACAATACCAGTTACCCATAATTACCGAAACCGAGATTATTAAATTGTGTCATGTTTAGTCCCATGTAGGGTAAATGACACATTTGGTCACTGAGATTATTAAATTGTGTCATGTTTAGTCACTAGAAAAAATTAATATCAATTTTGGTCACTCGAATTACCGAAACTGGTCAAATTTAGTCACTCTCCCGTCAGTTTCCGTCCAACTCCATTAATGTAGTTGGACGGAAACTTTTGGGAGAGTGACTAAATGTGACATGTTTCAGTAATACGAGTGACTAAATGTGACATTTTTCAATAATTCGAGTGACCGGAGTTGGACAGAGGCTACAGAAGAGTGACCAAATGTGACCTGTGTCAGTAATTCGAGTGACCAAAATTGATATTAAATTTTTCTAGTGACTAAATATGACACGATTTAGTAATCTCAGTGACCAAATGTGTCATTTACCCATAATCCATTGATCCGAGTCCGACCCAACTTCAGCGCCAAACCCTTGCTGATATGTCACAGCCTCACAACTCGACGCCATGGCCGTGCCACCTGACAAGTACAGTAAATGGGGCAACCAGATGAATCACAGTTTAAGTAAAACTTGTTCATGCAACAATCCGCAACCCCACACCCCAAGCATTCCCATATATGTGTACAACTGTAGATATAATATATATATTTACTCGGCACCATTAAATCATAAGTCAGCACAGTGATGCAGGGACAGAGACCCAGCAAGTTGGCGTTGACAAGCTAGTCCACACAGACATATCCATACATCTGATGGCGACGTTCTTCTGTTCCATATCAGAAGAAAAAGGCTTTCAAACATAGGCAGATGGCAAAAGCGAAAGCAAACGCAAATAACCCAAAAGGAAAAACCAAGTCAAATTGAAATTTCAGACCAAGAAGCTATAGCAAATTATAGCACAGCACACAGTGTTCACTGACTGCGACCTTTCCCTGTAAACATTCTCCTTTTTGTCTCTCTCTCTTGCTCTCGTTCTGGGGTGTCTATTTTGTTCAAATCGAAGCATCCTAAGCCGGGAAAACAGAGTATTGTGTGATCAATTTCGTCTATATAGCTTCGTCTCCCTTCCCGCGCGCCTTTTCATGCTCTCTCAACTCTCTCTTCCCTTTCATTTTCACCCTTCTGCAGCTGCTGCTGCTGTAAATTTGTCCACTAGCTAGCTACCATCATGAATTCATTAGTCAAAATATAAAAAGCCAGAGGGGCAGGGGAAAAAGGAAATGTTGCCTCCCTATGAATGCATCGAGATTTTGAAGGTGGGTTTTTGATTTGTGAGTGAGAAAATCACGAGATATGGAAGTGGGTGGTGCGGCGAGAGGAAGAAGATCGACGGCGGGGCGAGGAGGAGAGCAGAGTGACAGCACGGAGAGAAGGAAACCTTGCGTGGCCATGAAAAGGGTTCAAGTTGTTTACTATCTTACCAGGAACGGCCAACTGGAGCATCCTCACTTCATGGAACTCACCCACTCTCCCAATCACCTCCTTCGCCTCAAAGGTAAAAACTAGTTTAAATGTTTTAAACTACTGGCAGAAAAAAGGTTTGAACTTGGTGAGTAAAATATCTTTTGGTGGAAATGGTGGGTATATGGAGCAGATTTTGTGGATCGGCTGACCGCTCTCAGGGGGAGAGGGATGCCTTCTCTGTATTCATGGTCCTGCAAAAGGTCTGCAACCCCATCCCACTCTTGTGTTCTTGACAAAAACCTGTGATGTTGACTGGATTTTTTTGTCAATGGCGTATGTGTTGAATGAATGATGTGTACAGGACATATAAGAACGGTTACGTATGGAACGATTTGGGGGAGAACGATGCGATTTATCCCGCCGATGGAGCTGCCGCCGAGTACGTTCTCAAGGGTTCCGAGATTCTCCCTCAACCTGTTGCTGGATTTGCAGAAAGGTTGCCGCCGCCGCCGCCGCAGCAGCAGCAGATTCATGATGTGTCGTCGAGTATGGTTCATAATCATCAGCCCAGAACCACTAATTATATACCTCTTGCCAAAATAAAACAGAGGCCACAGCAGCAGCAGCCACTGGAGTTTACAGCTCCCCTGCCTCCAAGAACTCGCCCCTGCAGCCGCGAACTCGAACCAGAACCAGAACCAGAGGAAGAGGAAGAATCGCCGGAGGAACTCGACGAGGAGGAGAAAGCTAGCTACAGTACTACAAGCTCTACAACTCCACGTTCCCGCTGCTCCAGAGGCGTCTCTACGGACGAACCAGAAGAGGAACAGCAGCAGGCGGCGAAGCAGGGGAACCAACTGGTTCCTACTCATACCCAGAAAACCCCATTGATTTTAGTGAAGCGATTTCCAGGAGGAGAACAAAGTGATGGTGGGTCGGACTCCGACCCGGGATCAATCAAGGAGTCGTCATCATCAGCAACCAGACCAGCAGTTCGCAATTCGGTTCTGCTTCAACTCATTTCCTGCGGCAGCTTCACCGCCCCACCTCCTCCTAAGCTCAAGACCAACGTTGCGGCTACAATCAAGAAACTGCCGCTGCCACCACCCGTCATTAAAAGAGAGGTCGTTGGCAGTAGTGACGACTGTGGCGCCGGCAATGTTAGCAGCAGAAGGATGGGCAGTACTGGTAATGGTGCAGGGAAGGAAGGAGAAGGAGAAGGAGAAGGAGAAGAAGAGGCGATGATGATGATAAAGTACATGTCGGAGAATCCCAGGTTCGGCAACCCTCAGTCTCAAGAAAAGGAGTTCTTCAGCGGCAGCATTGTCGAATCCGTTGATCATTCTGCTCCTCCTGGAATTGACACCATTAAGAGATCCAATTCCTACGGGGAACAACGGTATTAATTGGTCATAGTGTTTCTTACATGTCATTACGCTTAACTTGACAAAGATTGATTATATAGGTTAGTTACAGTTCCGTTCTTTCTGCAGGAGCAGCTTGAAGGAAGCAGCAGCAGCTCATGTGGAAGATGCAGCTGCTGAAGCAGGGGCGCAAGTGAAGAACAGGGGAGGAGGCATCAAAGGGAAATGCATGCCTCGTTTGAGGTCCTCGAAGTGAATGAACAGTGGAATTTAATGAGTAGTGGAAATATGTCAATTACTACTAGGAAGGATAAGGACATGGTGATTGCTGCTTTTCCTTTATTGCTTCTGTATAAAAGGATGGGTTGTTACTGGTTTTTCACCCGCCATTGTTGTTATTATGACAAGTCACTGGCAGTGGCAGGCCATTATTATCGTGAAATCTCCCCTCCAACTGTCCGTTTGGGATAATTCTGGAAAATTTGACTCGGTGAATCTGGAAAGCAAATTGTCGACAGAGAGGTGTTAGTACGTGCGTTGAGCTTGCAGGCATAGAAGGAAGAAAGCTGAAACCCTTTTTGACTTTCCAGTTGCTGGTTTGCTTCCACGGCCAGTTTTTAGGCTTCCTTGTAGTTGTTGCCAGCGGTCTTTTTCTTGGAGCTTAGTGGGGTTGTAAACTAGAGTGAAGTCGAGTTTTATCTAATTGTGGCTCAACTTATTAATAAATTAGATTTTTTTTTTCTGCGGTAAGAAATTAATTATAGATAAAAATGTATTTTACGTATTTGATGATTTAGTGGAAACTAAGTAATTTATTGTCTTAATCTTTACGAATGGCATACATTATACATTTGTTTATGTGATACATAAGGAAATAACTTACATACATTATATATTTGTATATATGTAAGTATTCTGTAATTTATTGTCTTAAATCATCACAGAATACTTACATATACTTGTTTCTATTTTATTTTATGAAACCTGCGGTTAGTTGTATTAATAAAAAAATGTTGTTGCATCGTCCAACAGAAGCTGATTAATCAAGATCATAGAGGGTCTATCTACCCAAATAACCGAAGTATTCCAGGGAGTTCGTGTTACGTGTTATGTAAAGACACAGAAGAATTTTAGGGATTTTGACCAAGTACGATACAGAAAAGAAAGAAGGAAAAACAAAGAAGAAGAAGGCTTCTGTTTCTCGTCCAAAGAGACTTGTAAATGGGCTAAAAAAGGCAAAGCCCAAAGCGAAATAAAAGTAAATGAAAATAAGAAGGAACGAGGGCTTGAGCTACAAAGCCCAACCGAAAAATGTAATAAGACCAACAACACACTGCTTGTCTTCGACCTTGACCTGTCGAAGCAAAAACAGAGCAGAGGCAAAAACAGAGTCGAAGAACATGGAACACATAACAAGAACCGTAAGAGCAGTAAAAAGAAAGGTAACACACGATTTAACGAGGTTCCCTAACTACTGTCACTCCTCGTCTCGAAAATAACACTTGCTATTTTCTGAGAGACTTTTTTTTATTAAGATTTTTCCTATCAAGCAAAAGAAAAGGAAAGAGAGTAACGAATCTGTAAAACCGAACAACCACCAGCCCATATCACATTCCGATCTGTAGAAACCCTCAACAACTAAGACCCCTGAACTGTTGATGACCTTGTAACTAAAAGACCAGCCCTCTACCGCTCTCTTTTTCTTCGTTACAAACCTTACTTTTACACTCGAGTTACACTGAATATATAGGCAGAGCAAAGTATCCGTTGAGAAGACCAAGCTAGCCGTTGCTGATTTTCCGCCAGAATTGCTTCTTCTGAGATGACCTTCCTTAGACGAATGAATCTTGAGAACTTACCAAAGGAGGATCAATCATCTACTCTTATTTTGTTCAACAATCTTCCCCTAAAGAAGAGATTGACGATTGATTTTTTTCCTGCAAAAGACAACACACGAAAACTACAAGCACAATAGGAGAAATATACCTCGAGACAAATAATGCAGCTAAAAATCATGAATCATGAAGTCCAAACCAATTCTAGCAAAGTTCAAACATCCCAGAGCAAAGTTCAAACATAATCAGACCAAAACAGCAAGTTCCAACCCAATAAACACATAGGGTAAACATATTAAAACAAGAGCCAGGCTGAAAAACACTTCGCAAGAGAAACAGAATACGTCTAAAACGATCTTCATCGTTGGATCCAAGATCTTCTTCATCAGTCTCATAAAGCACCACAAGATCTGCAGGAAACGAATCTTCAGAAGCCGAGTTATCCTCTTTCTCTGGTTCCACTTCTTTAGGTTCTACCTCCACCTCATCGTCTTCAATTACAGCAATAGCAGCAGGAAAAACTTCTCCCTCAATCGCAATCTCCATGTCGTCCAGCATTTGGTCGATAGACACATATTGAGTAGGAGAGATGGTGCGAAAAGAGGATAGGTCAATTTCTAGACGAGAGAACAACCGAGTGATGAGGGGTCCAAATGGCAGTGGGATAGGGAAGTGGACATCACCAAAGGAGAGCATGGAGCCAAAACCCAAGTGAGCATAGTTGAGGACATGGATAACAACATGACGCATAATCCAGAGGTCTAAAGGGGTAACTCCGTCAAGAGACTGAAAATGGGGAAGAAAGACCATGGTGAGGACGAAATGAAAAGCACAAAGACGGGGCAGCAGGACATTAACAAGAAGGGATAGGGCAGGACCAGGATGGACACCCGTGAGGCGCACAAACTCCTCGGCAATATTAAAATTAACTCTCCACAACTCAGATTCATGAGCCAAGGTCCTACCAATAGCTGGGATATCCAACAAACGACCAAGGTCGAAAACAGGGATGGTAAGGAGATGGCCATGGAACATGGTGGAAAAAAACTCTGGAATGCAGGCCATCGGAGCGAAGGTTTGAGTAAAAAAATCGGACACGAATAGGGCAAAAAATGGATGAAAGCTGATCAAGTAAAAATCCCCATCCCCGATTTTGGATGAAATCATTGATATCTAGAGCAAAATCAGGGAACTCTTCAAACGGAGCAATGATAGAGGGGGCAAGCTCAAAAAATTGACGGTGGCGGTGGTAGTTGGCAAGAGCAGGTTCGAAAAACAGAGTACCAGAAAACTTTATAGACAAAGAGGGCTCCATAGCTAAGACAAAAAAAGAACAAGAAAAAAAAACTCTCAAAAGTGAAGCGAAGAGGAAATAAGAAGGCTCAACTTAAATAGGGAAGCGGGAGCCCGCTAAGAAGAGGAACACCAACATACAAGGTAAGAAAATAAAGATCAATAACTCTAAGAATCAATCACGGAACAAATAAGAGTAAATAATCTAACTATAAACAGGGAAAGCAAAGCAATTAAATGACACAAATCAAAGGTAGTCATCAATGCCTGTAGAGACCTTAAACCAAGCTCATAGCATAGAAAAGTAAATCGATCTAAGGGTAGAGGCGTAGTAAAAAGGCCAGCCAGCTGAAATTCAATCGGTATATGCTGCAAAGCAAGGATGTGAGATGAAACAAGATCACGAATGAAGTGGTATTTAATTTTGATATGCTTTGTGCGAGAATGTTGCACCAGATTTTTCATCATGCATATAGTACTAGTATTGTCACAGAATAATGGGATGCAAGACATATCTAAACCATAGTCAGCAAGCTTGCTTTTTAGCCAAATTAATTGAGTGCTACAACTCCCAACAGCTATATATTTTGCCTCTACTGTAGAGAGGGCAACAACCCCCTGTTTTTTGCAAACCAAGAAACAAGACAAGTACCAACCAGTTGACACGTACCTGTTGTGCTTTACCGGTCAGTTAGACTGCCGGCAAAGTCAGTATCGCTATAAACCAACCAAATCGAAGGTTTCTTGTTTAGGATACCAGAGACCGACATCTATAGTGCCCTTTAAAATAGCGAAAAATCCGTTTAACAGCAGACACATGACTTTCTTTGGGTTGAATTGGAACCAAGCATAGATACAGACACTGTACTGAATATCAGGTATGCTGGCAGTTAAATACAATAAAGATCCAATCATCCCTCGATACTTCTATTCATCAATAGTAATTCCATTCTCGTCTCGATCTAACTTTAAATTTGCAGCCATAGGAGTGGGGATGGAATTTAAAGAAGTCATGTCAAATTTGGAAAGCATGGAATGGATATACTTGGATTGGTTTATGAATATGCCATG